ATATGAAGACATAAAGAAAAATATAGGCAGAAATCAGTAGGAGAAACCGGAGTCCAGAAATAGATTCAAACCCATATGGACAACTGATAGTCAACTAAATTAAAAGGGCACTTAGTAGAGAAAGGATAATCTTTTTAACAAATGGTGTTAGAGCAAATATCCATAGGTAGAAAAAATGAATGTGAATTCTTCAAAGTTCTGAAACTATGTAAAGCTATAAAACTTGTAAAAGAAAGCTGTAATCTCAATACTTGGCAGATTGAGGCAGATGATTGCAAATTCAAGGCCAGTTTGGACAACATAGACTGTCCAAAAAAACAACAAACACCAAGCCCAATAGCTTACACCTATAATCCTAGCTACCAGAATCTCTTTTAGGATTCTGGCCTAAAAGCCAGCCCAGGCAGAAAAATCCCCAAGACTCCATCTCTAGTTACCAGAAAAAAAGACAGGACTTAGAGGCAGGGCTCAAATCGTAGGGTACTAGCCATGAGCAAAAAAGCTAAGTACAAGCCGTAGTATTACCCATCTCCACATAAAAGTCCACAAAAACCTCTAAAAGAAAACAGTCACTGGGCTGGGAAGGTGGCTCAGGGGTAGAGTGCTTGTTTAACATGCATGAAACCCTGGGTTCCATTCTCAGTACCACATACAGAGAAAAAGCCAGAAGTGGCACCATGGCTCAAGTGATAGAGTGCTAGCCTTGAGCAAAACAAACTCAGAGACAGTGCCCAGGCCCTGAGTTCAAGCTCCATGACTGACCAAAAACAAACGAAAAAAAAACACAGTCACTAGGACCTTAGGTTAAACAAAGATTTCTTAGATACGACACCAAAAAGAAAATAAATGGACAGATTGGACTTTGTCAAATTTAAGAAACTTTGCTCTTCATTATTTACCATAGCTAAGATATGGAACCAACCCAGATGCCCCTCAGTAGATGAATGGATCAAGAAAATGTGGTATATATACACAATGGAATTCTATGCCTCCATCAGAAAGAATGACATTGCCCCATTTGTTAGGAAATGGAAAAACTTGGAAAAAATTATATTAAGTGAAGTAAGCCAGGCCCAAAGAAACGTAGGTCCCATGGTTTCCCTTATTTGTAATATCTAGTATATGTATGAGTCAAGCGGAAAAGGTCAGATAATGTGATGTCAGGAAAATGAACCCTTAGATGTGTATTTTAATGTTTTTTTTTTTCATGCATGTGTTTCTAACACATTTATAAGATTATCTCTTTGTTGCTTTGTATGTCCCTCCCCCACAGTATAACCCCTGCTTTCACTATATTTGATGTCAGTATAACTTGTGGAGGAGATGGGGAAAAACCAGTTGTTTAAGGATACAGGTGGACCTGTTGCAACAATGAGAAGTACAAGTTGTCATGTCCAAAACGAGCTTTACAACGTTAGTGCGGGGGGGGGGGGGGGGGGGGGAGGGGGAGGAGAAGGATTGGGATTGGGGGGGAGGGGGGAGGCTGGGAAGGGATGTGAAGGGTAAACAAAGGAGGAGGCTGCAATGCTTGGTAAGAAATGTACGCATTATCCTGCCCATGTAACTGTAACTCCTCTGTACAGTATGTTCACAAATAAAATTAAATTAAATTTAAAAAAAAAAAGAAAGAAACTTTGCTCTTCAGTATACACCATTATTAGAGTAAGAAACAAGCCAGGTGCTGGTGGCTCCCACCTGTAATACTAGCTACTGAGGATGCTAAGATCTGAGGCTCACAGCCCAGGCTGACAAGTCCATGAGACCCTTACCTCCAGTTAACCACCAGAAAACCAGAAGTAGCACTGTGGTTCAAAGTGCCTTGGGCAGGGAGTTCAAGGACAGCCCCTGAGTTCAAGCCCCATGATGAGGGTGGGGGAGGGATAGAAAACACGTACCGGAATAAAAAAGCCCACAGATTAGAAGAAAATCTTTGCCACCTATCCGCTAGACATGGGATTAATACCTAAAATATATAATGAGGTCAAAAATTGAACACCAGAACCACAAATAATCCATTTAAACCATGGATAAACAGTTTTCAGAAATACAAATAAATACATGAAGTGTTAATATCCTTATGGGGAAGTTACATGCAAATCACAGTAGTACTAAGATTGCCTCTCACCCCAGTGGGAATAGCTCTACTCCCAAGAAAGCGCGTGGCACATGCTGGCACACACACCCGACACTGGGATGCAAGCTAGTGCATCCTTTAAAAAAGTGGCTCAGGCCTGTAATCCTAGCTTCTCAGGAGGTTGAGAGCTGAAGAGTCTCCCATTTAACCAGCCAGAAGTGAAGGTGTGGCTCAATCTCTAGCCTTTTTTTTTTTCTTTTTTTTTGGGGGGGGGGGGAGGGGTCCGGTCGTGGGGCCTGAACTCTGGGCCTGGGCGCTGTCCCTCAGCTCTTCAGCTCAAGGCCAGCACTCTACCACTTGAGCCACAGCGCCACTTCTGGCTTTTTTTTTTTGCTTATGTGGTGCTGAGGAATCGAACCCAGGGCCTCAGGCATGCAAGGCAAGGGCTCTACCACTGAGCCACCTTCCCAGCCCTCAGTCTCTAGCCTTGAGCAAAAAACTAAGCAAGAGAGAGAAGTCCTGCACGCACGCATGCATGCCCGCGTTCACACACACACACACACACATACACACACACATACACACGCACCCCTAATGACACTGTGGTGACACTTGAGCATATATATGAAGAAAAGTCAGTATATACCATTGCAACTCTACTCAGAGTAGCCAGGCTGTGGAATTATACTAGGTGACTATCAAAGGATGAATAGTTTTGGGGTTTTTTTTTGTCCCTGTCCTGGGGTTTGAACTCAGGGCCTGAGGGCTGTCCCTGAGCTTCTTTTGCTACATTCTACCACTTGAGCACAGCTCCATTTCTGCTTTTTTCCGGTTATTGGAGACAAGAGTCTCGTGGTCTTTTCCTGCCCAGGCTGACTTCAAATTGCAATCCTCACATCTCAGCTTCCTGAGTAGCTAGGATTACAGGCCTGAGCCACTAGCTCCTGGCTAAGATTTTAATGTACTATGTATAAACTCATGGGATTACATTGTTTACAGGAAAATGGTGCTGAGGATTATCATGTTGAGCAACAGAGTTAAGCTCAGAAAGACAGATTTTTATCAAATTTTCTCTAGACCTAAAAAACATGACATAGCTGAGGCTCGTATCTCCAGACAACCACCAGAAAACCAGAAGTGGAGCTGTGGCTCAAAGTGGCAGAGCACTAGTCTTAAGCACAAAAGCTCAGGGACAGCGCCCAGGTCCTGAGTTCAAACCCTACATCTGACAAAAAACAAAGCAGGAAAACTTACTACAGTGAATACATAAGCAAATATAAAGGTGGGTGGAGCCAGGCACTGTGGTTCAAGCCTGTAATCCCAGCTGCCTGGGAGGGTAGTGGAAGAGGTGATTTGAGACCAGCCTGGGTAACCAGTGTCGGGCACAGCAGCACACACCTGTAATATCAGTGCAGGCCAGCACAGTGGTCAGTGCCCATCCCCCATGACAGGGACTCATGAGGAGGGTTATAGCCCAGACATAAAGCAAGACCCAACCTGGGAAATAACATAAAAGGAGGCTAGAGGCATGGCTCAAGTGGTAGAGCACCTGCCTGGCAAATACAAGGCCTTCAGTTAAACCAAAAAAAAGGATGAAATGTTTGACTAGATTTCACGCAAGGAAAGGGAAATGGCCAGTGCGCAGTTGTGCCAGTCCTGGGACTTGAACCCAAGGCCTCATGTCCTCACTGGGCATTTTCACTCAAGCCTGGCACTCTCCCCCTTGGGCCCCACCCCCACTTCTGACTTTTGCTATATAAGTAGAGATAAGACTCAAGGATTTGTCTGCCTAAGCTACCTTTGAACCGAGATCCTCAGATGCCAACGTTAGCTTTTGTTATTACTAAATTACTCCACTCCCACCCCACATCCTTATTTTCCTTTGGGTTCCAAGCCAGGTTAGCTGTTAAGTGGTTCTTAAATTGGTTAATTGGAGTGGTTTTTGTTTTTGTTGGGGGGGGGGGTCATTATGCCAGTCCTGGGGCTAGAACTCAGGGCCTCAGCACTGTCCCTGAGCTTTTTTTTTTTTTTTGTCAGTTGTGAGGCCTGAACTCACCCTGGGCGCTGTCCCTTGGCTCTTCAGCTCTAAGCTAGCACTCTACCACTTGAGCCACAGCACCACTTCCGGCTTTTTCTGCTTATGTGGTGCTGAGGAATAGAACCCAGGGCCTCATGCGTGCAAGACAAGCGCTCTACCACCGAGCCACCTTCCAGCTTCCCTGAGCTTTTTTGCTCAAGGCCAATGCTCTACAGCTTGAGCCACAGCTCCACTTCTAGTTTTTTGGTGGTATTAGTTGGAGATAAGAGTCTCATAGACTTTGCTGCCCAGGCTGGCTTCGAACCTACCAGCACCCAGTTTTAGTTGGAGTGTTCTAAATATTTTCAGGAATTCAGCTATTACATACCTCTGGCAAACTGAAAGGTGAAGGTGTAAATCTACTTAATGTCAGCATAGCTTTTTATTCCTTTCCCCAGTCTTCCTAAGAGCCCATTTGATTGATTGATTGATTTTTGGTCATGGGGCCTGAACTCTGGGCCTGGGCACAGCACTGTCCCTCAGCTCTTCAGCTCAAGGCTAGCACTCTACCACTTGAGCCACTACCAGCTTTTTTGTTTATGTGGTGCTGAGGAATTAAACCCAGGGCCTCATGCTTGTGAGGCAAGCACTCTACCACTGAGCCACCTTCCCAGGCCCCCATTTGATTTTGAGTTCAACATTTACTTTCTGCTGATTTTTCAGTGTTAGGTGCAAAATAGACTTTTGTATTTGGGGGGAAAACAAAAACAAAAACAGCTGTCGGAAATGAGTTTTTCAGTTTCTTCCTCCTATATGTATTCTGGCAGGTAAGGCCACGACAGTATAGATTTGAAATGTGTGGTTCAGTTCTGGGCTTACTTGGCTTACTTTGATAATTGTCTTTTACAGGAAACCCAAAACAATCGAGTACGTCTTGTCAAGATTTTGGGGACCCTGTCTTCAAGGCTAGAAGCAAGTCTGCACTGCACCCATGTGCCCATGCGTGAAGAGTTAGGTCGGAGCGGGCGCAGAGGGCACCGCCACGTGCCCCGAGCCAATGTGCTCCTATGAGCTACAAGCCCTGCCTTCCAGTGCTGGTGGTGACCGGCCGTGTTCACAGAAATATCCTGAAAGACAGAGTGGCGATGAAAAGGTGAAGAAATCTGTGTCTGGGGCACAAGAAGGAATCTGGCCGGGTTTTTATGAGCTGAGCTACTCCCACAATGAGGGGGCCGGGCTAGGGATGGTTGGCCATGGAGAAGTTGTGGGAAGCTTGTCCCCCAGGGGATGGGGGGTTTATTTCCAATAAAGGAGACTTCAAACCAGAGGAGGACGATGACAACCAAAACCCCGGTGGTGGCATGGGAAGAACAGACTTTAAAAGTGAGCCGGAGGACCCGAGGCAGGCCGACCGTGGGGAGCTGGCCGGGATGCAGGCAGACTGTGCCTGCCGGCCGCCTCCCGAGAGCGAGGATGACTGCGGCGCCCTCTTCTCCCAGTACAGCAGCACGCTCTACAGCGTGGCCATGGAGGCCGTGGCCCAGAGCCTCCTCTCCAGCCGGCACGCCAGCTCCAGGAAGAAGTCTCCCGCTTGGAAGCATTTCTTCATCTCTCCTCGAGACAGTACCAAGGCGATATGCACATACTGCATGAAGGAGTTCAGCCGGGGCAAGAACGAGAAAGACCTGAGCACCAGCTGCCTCATGAGGCACGTGAGGCGGGCCCACCCCACCAAGCTCCTGCAGGAGGACGGAAGCCTGTCGTCGGGGGCCGCCTGCCCCTCCCCCTCGGCCCTGCTCCCACCCCCGCCCACCGACGGTGGGGACCTTGGCACCACACTGTCGCCCAACAGACTCGTCCAGAAAATGGCCCCTAAGATCCCATCCCCTGACCGAGTGAAGGAGGAGTCCGTGTCTGTGGTCTTCTCTGAGGAGGCTTCCTCCGATGTGGCCATCGCTGAGAAGTATGGCCGAGATGAGGCCCTGGCCGGGGCCCTCCCCCACCTCCCCGCACTCCATGGCGACGAAGCTGCAGAGAACATGGCCGAGAGGAGCTTGGCCCTTCCAAAGGGTTCGTCGGGGTCCAGGCGGCGGTCAGCCGTCTGGAAGCACTTCTACCTGTCCCCCCTGGACAGCTCCAAAGCGGTGTGCGTGCACTGCATGAACGAGTTCAGCCGCGGGAAGAACGGCAAGGACCTGGGCACCAGCTGCCTCATCAGGCACATGTGGAGGGCCCACCGCTCCATCGCGCTGCAGGAGAACGGGGGTGGCGCCAGCATTCCGCCCCTGTACCCCGCGCCCCCCACCCTCCTGCCCACCCTGCTGCCTCCCGAGGCGGATCCAAGCTCGGGGGTGCTGTCGCTGGGGAAGCTGGTGAGAGGGTGCCCTTCTGCCGCCTCCTCCCCAGACAGGCTGGGCGAGGACCCCGGGGACGTGTCTGTGTTGTCGTCCTCTGACGAGCTCGCCGAGGCATCCCTGCTGTCCTCTCTGGAGAAGCGGCCGGCGGGCCCGGTGAGTCCCCGGCAGGGGCCGGGGGGGATCTTCCAGCAGAACAAGAAGGTCATGAGGAGGCTCAAGTCGGAGGTGTGGCACCATTTCTCGCTGGCCCCTATGGACAGTCTGAAGGCCGTGTGCCGGTACTGCGGCTGCGTCATCAGCCGAGGGAAGAAAGGGGACGTGGGCACCAGCTGTCTGATGCGGCACCTGTACCGACGCCACCCAGAGGTGGTGGGGGGCCAGAAGGACCTCCTGGGTGCGAGCTTGGCAAACCCTCCGTATGCCACGTTGGCTTCTGCAGAAAGAGCCTCCAAACGGATAGACTTGCCGACAGCGGCCAGAAGAAATAGCCCATTCCTCTTCCCCGTAAGCAGCAAGAAGACCTCCAAGCTGTGGAACCACTTTTCGGTTTGCTCCGCGGACTCCACCAAGGTGGTGTGTCTGCACTGCGGCCGGACCATTAGCAGGGGCAAGAAGCCCACCAACTTGGGCACCAGCTGCCTCCTGCGCCACCTGCAGCGGTTCCACAGCCACGTGCTCAAGGCCGACGCCCCCGAGGCTGCGGAGCCCCGTCCCCCTGGCGTCCGCGCGCCCCCGAGCATGGAGCCCTCGGAGCCCTCCCTCAGCAAGCCTGCTGAGAAGTTTTATGACTCTCATCCAGTTGCCAAAAAAATCACAAGTCTCATAGCAGAAATGATTGCACTTGACCTCCAGCCATACTCTTTCGTGGACAATGTGGGCTTTAACCGGCTGCTCGAGTACTTGGAACCCCAGTACACATTACCCTCCCCGTCCTACTTCTCCAGGACAGCCATCCCGGGCATGTACGACAGTGTGAAGCGGATCATCATGTCCCATCTGAAGGAGGCCGAGAGCGGAGTGGTCCACTTCACCTCGGGAATTTGGATGAGTAGCCAGACCCGCGAGTACCTGACCCTGACTGCGCACTGGGTCACCTTCGCGCCCTCCGCCCACTCGCACTGTGAGGACCACCACTGCTCCGCTCTGCTGGACGTGTCACAGATCGACTGCGACTACAGCGGCAGCGGCATCCGCAGGCAGCTGCAGTGCTGGTGGGAAGCCTGGGTGACCTCCATCGGCCTCCGGGTTGGCATCACCGTCACTGACAACCCCAGCATCGGCAAGACACTGAGTGAGGGCGAGCACTCCAGCGTGCAGTGCTTCAGCCACACGGTGAACCTGATCGTGAGCGAGGCCATCAAGAGCCAGAGGATGGTGCAGAACTTACTGAGCACTGCGCGGAAGCTCTGCGAGCGCGTGCACCGCTCGCCCAGGGCGCGCGAGAAGCTGGCGGAGCTGCAGAAGGAGTACGAGCTGCCACCGCACCCGCTGATCCAGGACGTGCCCTCCCGGTGGAGCACCTCCTTCCACATGCTCGAGCGGCTCATCGAGCAGAAGAGGGCCGTCAACGAGATGTCGGTTGAGTGCAACTTCAGAGAGCTCATCAGCTGCGACCAGTGGGAGGTGATGCAGTCCGTGTGCCACGCACTGCGGCCCTTCGACACGGCAAGCCAGGAGATGAGCGCCCACGTGTCCACGCTGAGCCAGGTCATCCCCATGATCCACATCCTCAGCAGGAAGGTGGAGATGCTGTTTGGGGAGACGATGGGCATTGACACCATGCTGAAGTCGCTGAAGGAAGCCATGGCAAGCCGCCTGTCCGCCACCCTCCACGACCCCAGGTACGTCTTCGCCACCCTGCTGGACCCTCGCTACAAAGCCTCCCTCTTCACAGAGGAGGAAGCGGAGCAGTACAGGCAAGACTTAATCAGGGAGCTAGAAATACTGAATTCTACCTCAGAGGACACGGCTACCTCCAATGGCTGTGACTCAGGGTCCCCATCGAAAGACTGCAGCGGGGAGGAGAGTCTGTGGTCACTGGTGGCCAAAGTGGAGAGGAGAGATGGGAGGGAGAAGCTTCCTGAAGACATGGTGCTGGCGTACTTGGAGGAGGAGGTGCTGGATCACAGCTGTGACCCACTTACCTACTGGGGCCTGAAGCGCGCCTCCTGGCCTGGGCTGTCCACCTTGGCGGTCAGGTTTCTGGGCTGTCCCCCAAGTACCGTCCCTTCGGAGAAGCTGTTCAGCACGCCCACGGAGGCTGGTGGCTGCGGCCAGCCCAGGCTCTTGACAGAGCATTTTGAAAAACTCATCTTCTTGAAAGTGAATCTCCCCCTGATATACTTCCAGTATTGAACTCGCCATGGCACCTGCAGACTGGAGGTGTTCTAAGTAGCGCTGGCTGCTTTACCGAGGCTGTGGCCTGCCTAGCAGGCCATGGAGGCCGCAGACCAGGCATCAGGCCACTTGCCGCCGTCCCATCCGCACGTGCCTTACTCCTCCTGTGGGCCAGGTGTCGCCGTGCCGTGTTCCAGACGTCACTAGACACAGCCTGTCTTGTCCCTTATGAAATAGGATGATCAGGTTTTAATTCCTAACTGTAAAGATTTTTAAAACTTAAGGATAGTCATTTGTTTTCTAGAATGCAGAGAAGATGTAAATAATTTTATTCTATAGGCTTTTTATTCAATTGTGTAAAAAAAAAAAAAAAAAAGCAAAAAAAAAACCAAATCAGGTGCTGTATTTCAGTTCAATGTCGCTTTGTTTGCAACAAGACAGCTTTTTTTGCTGTCAGACAAACCCTGTGAGCTGGAGGAGGTGGCGATGAGGCCGTCCTGAGCGGCTCTGTACCGCAGGCCCCCGGGTGTGTGGAGGGGGCTGATGTGTGCTGCAGCCATGACACAGCATTTGAACGCAAAGCTGAGCTTAGACGTGCAGCACCAGTGGAGTGGTGGCCTGGTCCCAGCACCTCCCCATCACAGGTGTTTACCTTCAGGTTTTACAGGTAACTCAGAGATAACCCAACTATTTATCATGAGCTCCTTGAAATTGGATCCGCGTCGGTAAATTCTACCTAGGATTTAGCCAGTGCGTGGTAACGCTACGTTTACAGCGGACGCCTGTGGGTCAGACCTCCACGCCTGTGATGCGTCTGTGCTGTGATACAGCAGTGTGTGCACTGACCCCAGTGTGCTCAGATCCAGCCCCAGGCTCCCCGGGGGCCAGGGCTTCTTGGCAGGGAAAGTGTGCACTGGGGATGGCTAATGCACTCGGACTTAGTTCTGTGACCGGAAAAGCAGCCATCACTGGGGAACCCAGAATCCAGCAGACGTCCGATGAGATAGCCCTTGTCAGCTTCTCTTAACAATGTCTTTATTTTCTCATTTCACATCAGTCACATAGTCCAAGTGAGGCTCATCACTCACCCGCCATGACCTTCACAAGTCATTGTGTTACAATACTGTACCTCTGCTCAATGAAATTTGCCTGGACTATGCTTTAGTGTATTTATAAATGGTGAACTCAGTTTCTGAAATTAAACTTTTTATTTGCAATTTTCTAGTGCTGGTGAACACTTGAGTTTGTCTTCTAGGGCAATAAAACAGGTGTAATCCTTGTGGGCCAATGTGTGGGAACAGTAACAGCACTCGAGGTGCCGCCTCTTGGCCTTTCAGATTAGAAACAGCATTCGTTTTTGGTGATGTGGTCCATAGGGCTTGAACTCAGAACCTGGGCGCTGTCCCTGAGCTCTTTCACTCTACCACTTTGAACCACAGCACCACTTCTCGTTTTCTGGTACTTAATTGGAGATAAGAGTCTCATGGACTTTCCTGCCCCGGGCTGGCTTTGAATCGTGATCCTCGGATCTCAGCCTCCTGAGTGGCTAGGATGACAGCAGGCATGAGCTGCTGGTGCCAGGCTGAGTTTGTTTTTTAGCCAGTCCTGGGGCTTGAACTCAGGTCCTTGAGCCTCTCTGTGGTCAAGGCTAGCCCTCTACCACTTGAGCAACAGCACCACCTCTAGCTTTTTCTGTTTATGTGGTACTGAGGAATTGAACCCAGGGCTTCATACATGACAGGCAAGCATTCTACCACTAAGCCATATTCCCAGCCCCAAAACAGCACTCTCCCGCAGCCTTCTTCCCTCCCTTCCTCCCTCCCTTCCTTCCAGACCTAAGTTTTGAACTTGAGTCTTCCTCCTGTGACGTCGGCGTGCTAACACTTGAGTCACAACTCAGTCTTTCTTCAGTTGTTTTTCAGATAACATGTTTTCTGCCCAGCCAAGGCCAGCCTCACACAGGTCTCCCCCTCTGCAGCCTCATCCGTCACCAGGACCTCATGCACACGCTGCCATTGCCGTAGGGCTCTCACTAACGCCTCCAGACCTGCCCACCGCCACTAGCATTGGACTGAGGGCCTCCTGATCTCTCTCCCTTGTAGCTGGGACGATAGGCCTGGATCACCATGCCTGGGTCTTGAACCGCATTTCTGGTGATGGTAACGCAACTGGAACTTTCCAGGTCTGTGTGTTCGCCTGAGGACGTCTGCAGCAGCTCCTCTCACGCCAGCCTCTGACTGTGCAGGTCAGAGTGGGCCTCACGTCCCCTGGGTGCAGCGGGTCTGGCCTGTGCCCTCAGCGCAGGCAGCAGCTGCCCGTCCTGCTTCTCTTAGGCCTCTATTCTGAGAGGTACAACTGTTTGGATTTTTGGATATTGGACTTTGGGAATCTCCCTCTGTACTTGAGCAAGTCAGCAGTGCACTCAGAATCACAGGCCTCGGAAGGTAGAGCAGGATTGCAAGTTCACATCTAGCCTGGGTTACATAGCTGCTTTCAGGGCTGCCCAAGTGATATAGGGAAGGGAAGCAAAGGGTGGAAAGGAGCAAGAGAAGTATGAAGGGTGGCGGCCAAGTACCTGCCATCTGAATGCCGTCTCCTGCCAGAGCCTCTGCTCAGGTCTGAGATCTGTGTGTCCCCCACTGGACCCTGGAGCCGGCAGGGTGCTGGGCTCATGGACAGCAGAGCGCAGGAACACTGAATGAGTGCAACGGACAGCCGCATCTGTTGTGTCCCCCACTGGAGCCGGCAGGGTGCTGGGCTCATGGACAGCCCAGAAGCACAGAATGAGTGCAGAGGACAGCCACAGCTCCCTCAGGAAAGCAAGGCTTTCCCAGCCACGTCCCCACAGACCCTGCAGGCTGTAATGGGTACCAGGAACATACAGTGAGGGTGTGGGCCTGGTGTATGCCCAGTGGCCATTGCTGCCTCCACCAAGAGAAAGAGCCCTGCTACCACTTGTGCTTCATGGAGTTGGCCTGTGGCTAGACGCTGAGGTGCCTTAAACTTCATGGCATCCCAGGGGTCTTATGGTACCCCTTCCCTTCACCCTTTCGAAATTTACCTTGGTCCTTTGGCATCTGAATTTTCGTTTTATTTTTTATTTATTTTTGGTCAGCTGTGTGTCTTGAACTTGGGGCCCTGTCCCTGAAGGCAAGCACTCTACCATTTGAGCCACAGCACCACTTCCAGTTTTCTGGTGGTTAATTGGAAGTGAGAGTCTTATGGACTTTCTGCCCAGGCTGGCTTTCAACCACCATCCTCAGATCTCAGCCTTCTGAGTAACTAGCATTACTGGCGTGAGCCACCAGTGCCCAGCTTTTTTAAAAAAAAATTTCTGTGGGGCTGGGAAGGTGGCTCAGTGGTAGAGCGTTTGCCTTGCATGCCTGAGGCCCTGGGTTCGATTCCTCAGCACCACAAAAGCAAAAAACAAAAGCCGGAAGTGGCGCTGTGGCTCAAGTGGTAGAGTGCTAGCCTTCAGCTGAAGAGCTGAGGGACAGCGCCCAGGCCCAGAGTTCAGGCCCCACGACCAGACCCAAAAAAAAAAAAAGAAAAAAAATTTTGTGCCAGTTCCAGGGCTTGAACTCAGGGCTGGGCTTTCAGCTTTTTCATTCAAGGTTAGCACTCTCCCACTGCTGGGGACTCAAAACTTACTTTTTGCCAGTCCTGGGACTTGAACTCCATGCCTGGGTGCTGTCCCTGAGAATTTTTTTTGGGGGGGGTGTTGCCAGTCCTGGGCCCTAACTCTGGGCCTGGGCATTGTCCCTCTGCTCTTCAGCTCAAGGCTAGCGCTCTACCACTTGGGCCTCAGTGCCACTTCCAGCTTTTTTCTTTTTGCTTATGTGGTGCTGAGGAATCGAACCCAGGGCCTCATGCATGCAATGCAAGCACTCTACCACTGAGCCACCTTCCCAGCCCCCTGAGATTTTTTTGTGCTAGGCTAGCATTCTACCACTTGAGCCACAGCTCCACATCTTTTTGGTGGCTAATCAGAGATGATCTCACAAGCTTTCCTGCCTGGGCAGGCTTTGAACTACAATCCTCAGATCTCTTTGGGAGGTAATTTTTACTGATTTTTTTTTGGGGGGGGTTGACCTCCCACTTGTTTGGGTGGCACTCTACTACTAATAAGCCACACTTCCAGCCCTCCTTTTTTGCTTATTTTTGAGACGGTCTTGCTTTCTTTTGAGTGCATGCCCAGGCCATGATCCACCTACACAAGGCTACTGCTTGGAGCTGGGACGACAGGGGTGCCTAAAACACACACACTGAGAGCAACAAGTACAGACCTCAACCTTGGACTAAAACTGTTCCCCACCCAAAAGAACCAAGACTGCTCAGATAAGGCTGATCCCAGAAGCCCAGAGGGGCACGGAACACAGGAAGCACTAAGGAGGCCGTGTCAGAGACAGAGCAGGTTGACAGGCGTTAGGAATGATGTAACACAGGCGTGGATAAATATAGATGGGTTCAAGAATAAAGACAGGCATACAAACATGAATAAGCAACACTGGTGATCACAGGAAGAGGAGTGAGCATGCTGTTTTGGGACAGTGTTGTGCTGGCGGTGGGGGTGTGGCAGCTAGCCAGGAAATCTGCAGCCCACTCCCTAGCCCTTGTGGGGGACTGCCTTGGGAAGCATCTGAGATGTAAAGGAAACCTGTCACCGCTTGGAAAGGCACCTGAGGGGCTCAGGCCAAGGCCCGCTGTAAACAACCTGCTCTCAGAGGCTCAGAAAAACGTGTACAGCGTGGGGTGCACGCACGTTTGGACCATGCACATACTGCCTGATGTGTCTGTGCATGTGGCACACACACTGATGTATGCATGCATGTACACATGGCAAGCATGTACCCGTGGCCTGCATGCACGGTGCATGCTCTGTGTACCAAGCAGCCCATCTAGACATACGTACTGCTGGAAGTGTCACATGGTGTTTGCTCAGTGGAAGTGGCGGTGCCCCAGTGGCCCCAAGGCAGAGGCCGTCTCCAGAGGTAACTGGCCACAAGACGCCCCACAAAGAAACATTTAACGTTTTATTCCTTCCCTAGCCTGGACGCACGGAGGTGGAGTGCCTGTGACCCTGGGCCGTGGTCTCCCCAGCTACAGCAGGAAACACTACTCCCGGGCAGGCAGCCTAGGGCAAGTGCAACCAGCAGCCAGGGTGTCCAGAGGCCCATCCTGATCCACTCTCCTGTCTTGGTTATGAATGATGATGAGTCTGCCCCCAAATTATCCTGACCAGATGCGGGCCAGGATCACCCCTGCCCGATGGTTCCTGGGGTGCACACAGGCCCCAGTCCCTCTGCTCTCAGTTACGTGCAAGGGTGGCTGTGGCAGGACCACGTCTGCCCCATGGGTGCTGATCAGGAGCACATTGCTGTCTCAGCTGTGCCAGAGAGCCAAACGTGCATGGAGCCCCGGAGATCGGGGTATTGTGGGCTGCTCTCCCCGTCAGGACCGCCCGGGAAGCCTCTCCAGGAGCACCAACTTGGTCTGCAGGTTTACGTCAAAGGGAGGCAGTTTAGTGAGGTTCAGACTTACACCAGTGGTGCCTTCGATGCTGGCTAGGACCTGGTGTGTGTCCCTGTAGAGAGTGAGGTGTCCAGGGGCTGCTTCCATGAGGATGTGGGTGTAGGCCAGCATGCGGGCCGCTCCCGGCTGCACATCTTCCGACTTGTCATACCTGGGAGAGAAGAGCCCGTGTCCCAGCCACGCAGTGCTGCCAGGGGGCCGTGGGTACGCTCTAGGAGCGCACTAGGCACCTGCAACACGTGTGCACCCCCGACACTCATGTACCCAAAGCAATACACATGTCCCTATGCGGGAGACACACCTCCAGGCACTATTGACTTGGAGAAACCGTGACACACCAGTCTGCGCAGCCGCCACGTCAATGTGCAGGAGGACATCTAGGAACAGGCGCCTGGTCAGGGGCAGCTCCTCGGGGCCCTGGGGGCGTGGCATGACCCAGGGGCGTGGGGGAGGGGGGGAGGGTGTAGCAATGGGGGCGTGGTGTGATCTGGGGGTGTGGCCCGGGGCGTGGCAGCCCCACCCACCCCCGGGAGCTTGGCGGGGCCACTGACCTGTCTGGGGAGGCACCAGCTCGTGCAGCCGCCGCATGGCAGCGCCGCCGGGGTAGTTGAAGTGGGACACGTAGAGGGATGTGGCCGCGTAGGCAGCGTTCGCCACGAGGTGGCCCAGCACCAGCACGGCCCCCACCCTGTACAGCCAGGACTTTCTGTAGTTATTCAGCCTGGGGGGGAGTGTGAGACACTTGGCAGCAGGAAGACCAAAGTGCCTAGGAAATAAGTCACTTGGAGCCGAAGCCTGCCTGCTTCTCTGCCAGGTCATGGCCTGCGGAGCCCTCAGCCACCAGCCGTGTGTGTCTGTGGCCAGCCACGGTGCCTACGACGCCACCTCACAAGGCGGCGGGGCAGAGCCATGGAGGGCGGAGCTCACGGGAGGTGGGGCGGAGCCATGGAGGGCGGAGCTCACGGGGAGGTGGGGCGGAGCCATGGAGGGCGGAGCTCACGGGAGGTGGGGCGGAGCCATGGAGGGCGGAGCTCACGGGAGGAGGGCGGAGCTCACGGGGAGGTGGGGCGGAGCCATGGAGGGCGGAGCTCACGGGAGGGGGCGGAGCCATGGAGGGCGGAGCTCACGGGGAGGCGGGGCGGAGCCATGGAGGGCGGAGCTCACGGGGAGGTGGGGCAGAGCCATGGAGGGCGGTGCTCACTGGAGGGGGCAGAGCCATGGAGGGCGGAGCTCACGGGGAGGCGGGGCGGAACTCACAAGCAGGCGCAGCCTCTGGCAGCCACCACGTTGAAGGCAGGGAAGGTGTAGATGATGAAGCGCAGTTCCTTGTGCGGAAGCAGAGAATACAGAGCTACAAAGCCCAGCGAAGGGAGGGTCAGCGCGTGAGTCCTCCGGTCCACCGCGCCCAGGGGGACGAAGACCAGACTGCAGCCCAGGCCGCGGGGCAGGGCCGAGTAGAAGTACCACAAGAGCGGGGAGGTCTGGGTCCGCAGTTAAGGAGGCGGGGACGGGGCTGCAGGGCCCGGGGCAGCTGGGCGTGGGGCCACAGTGAGCAGGGACGGGGCTGCAGGGCCCGGGGCAGCTGGGCGTGGGGCCACAGTGAGCAGGGACGGGGCTGCAGGGCCCGGGACAGCTGGGCGCGGGGCCATGGTGAGTGGGGACGGGGCTGCAGGGCCCCGGGCAGCTGGGCGTGGGGCCACAGTGAGTGGGGACGGGCGCAGTCCCGGGGCAGCTGGGCGTGGGGCCACAGTGAGTGGGGACGGGACTGCAGGGCCCGGGGCAGCTGGGCGCGGGTGTGGGGCCACGGTGAGTGGGGACGGGGCTTCAGGGCCCGGGATAGCTGGGCACGGAGCCACGGTGAGTGGGGACGGGGCTGCAGGGCCCGGGACAGCTGGGCACGGGGCCATGGTGAGTGGGGACGGGGCTGCAGGGCCCGGGACAGCTGGGGACGGGCGCGGGGCCACGGTGAGCGGGGACGGGGCTGCAGGGCCCGGGGCTGCTGGGCACGGGGCCACGGTGAATGGGGACGGGGCTGCAGGGCCTGGGGCAGCTGGGCGCGGGGCCACAGTGAGTGGGGACGGGGCTGCAGGGCCTGGGGCAGCTGGGCGCGGGGCCACAGTGAGTGGGGACGGGGCTGCAGGGCCTGGGGCAGCTGGGCGCGGGGCCACAGTGAGTGGGGACGGGGCTGCAGGGCCTGGGGCAGCTGGGCGCGGGGCCACAGTGAGTGGGGACGGGGCTGCAGAGCTCGGGGCAGCTGGGCGCGGGGCCACGGTGAGTGGGGACGGGGCTGCAGGCCCCGGGACAGCTGGGGACGGGCGCGGGGCCACGGTGAGTGGGGACGAGTCTGCAGGGCCCGGGGCTGCTGGGAGCGGGGCTACGGTGAGTGGGGACGGGGCTGCAGAGCTCGGGGCAGCTGGGCGCGGGGCCACGGTGAGCAGGGACGGGGCTGCAGGGCCCGGGACAGCTGGGCACGGAGCCACGGTGAGTGGGGACGGGGCTGCAGGGCCCAGGGCTGCTGGGCGCGGGGCCACGGTGAGTGGGGACGGGGCTGCAGGGCCCGGGACAGCTGGGCACAGGGCCACGGTGAGCGGGGACGGGGCTGCAGGGCCCGGGACAGCTGGGCACGGGGCCACGGTGAGCGGGGACGGGGCTGCAGGGCCCGGGACAGCTGGGCGCGGGGCCATGGTGAGTGGGGACGGGGCTGCAGGGCCCAGGACAGCTGGGTGCGGGGCCACTGTGAGCGAGGACGGGGCTGCAGGGCCCGGGACAGCTGGGCACGGGGCCACGGTGAGCGGGGACGGGGCTGCAGGGCCCGGGACAGCTGGGCGTGGGGCCACGGTGAGCGGGGACGGGGCTGCAGGGCCCGGGACAGCTGGGCACGGGGCCACAGTGAGTGGGGACAGGGCTGCAGGGCCCAGGACAGCTGGGCGTGGGGCCACGGTGAACGGGGACGGGGCTGCAGGGCCCGGGACAGCTGGGCGCGGGGCCATGGTGAGTGGGGACCGGGCTGCAGGGCCCGGGACAGCTGGGCGCGGGGCCATGGTGAGTGGGGACGGGGCTGCAGGGCCCGGGGCACGTGGGGGGGGTGATGAACAGCCTGGCCCAGCCCAGCTCGGTTCGACCAGGCCCCACAGAGGCCCCATGCTCTTCCCAGTAAGAACACCATTGCGGGTGCCATGCGTGGCAGGCAGCCATGACTGTGCCGTCCACTTGGTCTGTGGGCATCGGAAAGCCCAGAGGCAAGGCTCCCCATGGAGAGGACTCCACGCTCAGCAGCATGGGCAGGAAGCGGCTGGTTGGACCTGCACCTGGGCCAGGCTGGCCAACCTCCCCCTCCCCCATACCTGGCTTCCCACGGGAGGGAAGGGCCTGGGGTAAGGGGCCAGGGCTGTGACCCCGCCTCCCAAACAACCACAGAGGATACGCCCCAGTTGGAACTTTTGTTCAGGATGGTGTTGTACCAGAACACCTCGCCCTCCGGCCACACAAGGCGTTGCCAGAAATAGGAGTCCACGGCCACCGTCAGTCCTAAAACACAGCAAAGCAAAAGCATCTGGGTGGTGAGCATGCCTCCACCCGTGGGGGGAGGGGTGCCCCCCCAGCCACGCTGGCCAAGGACAGACCAGCCATGGAGGTTCCCAGGCAGCCCCTCCAGAATGCAGCGTGGAGACCTGGAACTGACTTCTTGCTTTGGGGTTTGAGCCAGGGCCCAGCACTTGCTAAGCTGATGCTCATACCCCCTCCCTTCCTTTTATGTGTTTGATACTTTTTTCTTTTTGTTGGTTGTGAAGCGTGAATACAGGGCCTAGTCGCTGTTGCTGAGCAATTTTGCTCAAGCATAGCGTCTTCTACTTTGAACCACAGAGCCATTTCTGGTTTTCTGGTGGTTAACTGGAGACAGAGGTCTCATGTACTTTCCTGCCTGGCTTGGCTTCAAACCATGATCCTCAGATCTCAGTTTAAGTAGCTAGGATTATAGACGTGAGCTATCAGTGCCAGATACCTTTTTCAGATAGGGTCTCTTGCTTTTTTTGCTTGTGGTAGCCTTGGACTGCAGAGCTTTCTACACAAACTTCCTGTGCAGCGGCACTACAACTATGTGCCATCCCACCTGGCTTCTTTACTGAAGTGAAGTCTTGCCAACATCTTGCCCACGCTGGCCTCAAACCTGGATCCAATAGTGTCTATCTCCCAAGTAACTGGGATTACAGGCACGAACCACTAAGTTACTACATGGAACCTCTCAACTGAGTGTGTGCGTGCTGGTGCTGAGCTTAAAGTCTGGGCCTCACACTCTCACTCAGCTTGTTTAAGGCTGGTGCTCTACCACTTGAACCACAGCTCCACCTCCTCCACTGACATTTTAATACTGTGCCAAAAGTTAAGGTAACTTGCTTGATTTGCTAAAATTCCCTTTTTTCTTCATCTTTGTCAAACAAAGTGACCCACGGAGAACCCCAGCAAGGCTGACTTGCCTAGACAGAGGAGCCCCGCGGGCACAGCGTGCTGCAGGAGGGTGGCGACGGACATCCTCCGGGCGTACAGAGCCAGCAGCAGCATGAGGCCCAGCAGCAGGCAGAGCTCGGACCTGAAGACGATGATGGCGAAGGCTGAGAGCCAGACGAAGCGGGCCCACCTGTGGCGCAGCCAGGCCGAGAGGGCCGGCAGCACTGCAAGACACGGGGGCCCCCGCGGTCACCGCCACGCAAACCCAGGGCCGGGAGGGGGCCGGACTCTCACCGGGGTCACACGGAGTAACTCCCGGAGACGGGCAGCCGCTCCAGGCTGCAGAGGCAGACACCAGCCCGGAGAGAGAACCCGGTTCCCATCGCTGGCAGCACGAGAGGGGAGCAGGCAGAGGACACACGTGCCCGGAGGTGAGCGGATCCAGGCACAGCCAGCTACATACCCACGGCCAGGGCCAGCACATTGGGCAGCGTCCGCGTGCAGTAAAACATCAGGTGGAACTGCGTGGCCGTCACCGAGCAGAACATGGCCGCTGTCGTGGCCCCAAACTGTCTCCTCACTTCCTTCTGTAACGTCCACAGTCCAAGGATCACGCCAAGCCCAAGGACGCCTCTCACTAAAAAATAATGGCAGTCATATGCGGGGGCCGGCTCACAGGACAGCCACCTGCCCTGGCTCCGGCACAGCCACCTGCCCAGCTCCATCACAGCCACCTGCCCGGCTCCATCACAGCCACCTGCCCGGCTCCATCACAGCCACCTGCCCGGCTCCATCACAGCCACCTGCCCGGCTCCATCACAGCCACCTGCCCTGGCTCCGGCACAGCCACCTGCCCTGGCTCCATCACAGCCACCGGCCCAGCTCTGGCATAGCCACCCGCCCACCCGGCTCTGGCCCAACCAGGGTGGGAAGGGTCTGGGTTTATGGGAGACACCCATCATCCAACCCTGAGCGACAATGCCAACAGTGGACCAAGGTCAGAATGGAGGGATTTGTGGGGGACACTGCCAGGAGACAGGGAGCCTGACATGAGCCGTCCCAACGTGGCTATGGGGGGCAGAGTGCTCCCCCACAGGGAATGCATCTCACCTCCTGCTGGTCAGACTGACACCAGAGCACATGACAGCTTGCCCCAGCAGCCCCCAAAGGCCGGGACCGCACAGCCAGTGCAGGAGTTATAGGCACAGCCTTGACAGGAGGGCTGGAGACTTCCAGAGGCCGACCCTGTGATCACAGCAGACCCGGCGTGAGCAGCAGGCTGTCCTCTGCTCCCTGTGGCTGGATTTGCACTCAAGGCCTTGCCACGGCACACAGGCCCAGCCGCTGGACGCTGCTCCGGCTGCTGCTGCAGGCCCTGCTCTGGTGCCTTCAGTCCCCGCCTTCCCATCCTCCCAGTGGGACTGGCGGAGGGCTAGCAGGGACAGCGAGGACACAGCCTGTCTCAGGGTGACACTGTCACCATCCACAGACTTACTGTGGCTTCCGACAGGCACCCAGAAGACCAGAAACTCCAGACTGTCTCAGGTGAAAGAACAGCCACTGCGTGGGCCTCCCACACTGCGGCTGAGGCAGGCCAAGCCCCACAGCGCCCCCCAAACCAGGCCGCAGCCCCTGCTTGGGGTTCCCCGTGCCTTACTCTACCCCCTCAAGAAGACAAATTGTGCTGCTGCTTGTGACAGGTCAGGGGTTTGAGCTCAGAGCTTTGCACTCGGAGACAGGTGATCTACCCCCTGAGCTCCACCCCCCAGCCCTTTTTAAATTTTATTTTCCTAATAGGATCTTTCATTAACAGCTGGACCACTTATACGTCTCACACAGCTGGGATGACAGCATCTATCTCTTCACTTATTGGAGTTGCTCAACTTTTTGGCCCTGCTTGCCTTTGAGCTGCGATTCTCCTGCTCTCTGCCTCTGGAGTAGCTAGGATTACAGGCAGGGGCTACCTCGCCTCGCCAAACCTCACTTTCTTTCTTTTTGGTGGTTGTGGGGCTTGAATTCAGGGCCTCGGTGGCTGTCTCTGAGCTTTTTGCTCAAGGCTAGTGCTCTAACACTTTGAGCCATAGCACCACTTCCAGTTCTCTGGCGGTTTATTGGAGATAAGAGTCTCACGGAGTTTCCTACCCAGGCTGGCTTTCAACCTTGATCCTCAGATCTCAGCATCCTGAGTAACTAAGATTACAGGCATGAGCCACCAGAACCTGGCCAAACTGTACATTTTTAAAATCTCTAATGCAGGCAGGATAACCTGGCTGCGGGAATGCAGAGAAACTGAAATAAGATCTGCATGTAACACAGTAAGAATTTACTGAAATGGAAAAACAGTGATTGTTGACTAACAAGCGAGGCTGTGGAGCAACATGGGTAGAATGTCCTCAGCTGGTTTAGTTTTAAAGTCTGGGTCTGGTGGTGTACAACATGGGAGAGTCAACTGTTTACAACAGGAAAATAACCAGAAGATCCAGGCGTGGTAGAGCATGCCTGCAACCTCAGCATTTGGGAGGCTGAGGCAAGAGGAGCTAGAGTTCTAGGCCAGATAAGGCTACACCAAAAGACTCTGTGTCAGATAAACAAATAAATAAAAGTGAAATAACAAGGTTTCCAAAGCCTGGAAAGGCTAAATGTCTCAGATGGAATGCTAGTTGCCCTAATTCGATCATTACATGTCTTAGTCACATGTCGAATTATTGAGTAGGAATAGATATAGGTACCATTTACCAACTGGAGGTCGTAAAAAACTCTCATGCTGGCTTGGAGAGGCCCAGAAGGGTCTGTACTCAGGCCAACCAGAGATCTTGGAGACATGAGAGTCCCTTGCCATGCTGCCTGCTCAGGGGTGCTGCTACAGCAGGAGAACCCCGGGCTTTTAGCACCTGCTCTCCCACTAGCCCTGCTGGAAGACTCTGTCGCCTGGACATGGTGGAGCGCAGAGGCTTGGGGCACATCTTGTCCAAGTCTGACTGAGGCTAAGGGGACGAAGGGCAGGCAGGAATGTGAGCTGGGCTCCAAATGAGAGGAAGCGCCTGTGAGGCCATCCCAGCCGGAGGCTCCTTACCTATCAGCTGAGAAAAGAACTTGGACAGCTCCAACAGCGAAAGCATATAGACCACAGGACTGGAGAGGGCGGCAATCACCAGGGGCCCAAGGAACGTCCTGGGGACAACTCCAGGGAACTCGTGGTGGTCATACTGAAAGGAGAACACTTTGTCAGCACAGAGGCCTGGGGCCAAACCAAGATCTGCATCGTAGGCAACAGGGCCCTCACCTTGTCCACATCCAGCCGGTGGTAGAGCAGGTCGTGTGTGGCCTGCAGGTTAAAGCTCTCTTCCACCTTGGTATATGGACAGGTGACCAGGTGGACAGAGGCGACTGTGACCAGCAGCCCCAGCAGCAGCAGCGGCTGTCTGCCCCATGACCTCATGCTGGCCATGGGGGCTGTACACCTCAGCTCCTTCCTGGAACCAAAGGTGAGAAGCACCCACCATTAGCAATGACACATGAGAACCCGGGTCCCAGGTTTCAGAAATGTTCTAGAGACCACAAGGGAAGAGAAAGCAGAAATCCTATGAGCTGCTCTCCTAACTCCTGCACCTGCCAAAATGGGAAGTTAAAAGTCAATCTGAGCGGCTTTCCTGTGCAAACCAGCTCCCTCATGGAGACCCTGAGGTCTGGTGAGAGCCACTGGCTCAGAACTAGTGGAGAACATTGTGCACAGATATGGACTCCCAGACCCATAGTGGCCATGAGCCAGGCCGGCCCTCAGATCAATTCTGCTAGAGAGTCAAGTCGAGCAAAATCTGGGCTCAGAGACAGAGAGGCTGGGAGAAGCACTGAAGGTGGACAAAGGAAGAGCATGGGGGCAGCAGGCCCAGCACTGCGTGACTGGCAGTGACTCGGGGCCGAGGCAGCCACAAGGCTGTGTCCCCAAGGATAGTGGACGGAGCTGTGGATGCCTGCTGCCCTCTGAACTGACAACCTAGACAGGCCCAGGACCAGCACTGACAAAGGTGACCAGACTCTTGGCATCTCAGAGTAGAAATAGCCCCAAAGATCATCTTGTCCCTGTCAACTCCAAAGGCCTCTACCGAAACATTTCAGGTCACCTCTTCAAACGACCCAACTACAAATGAGACCTGCTGCCAACCACAAACCTGACACAACTGCCCTCTTGGTACTGAAGACAGCCCTTCCCTACCCGCAGACAGGCCTGCTTTACAGCCAGGGCGCACTTCTACTATTCCCCATTTAGATTATTTTTGACAGTGTGGGTACACTGCTTCTGGCACACATGGAGCTTCAGGTTCCTCACCCACTACAAAGGCAGAGGAGGGGTCCCGCGGGGGAGGGAGCTCCGAGGGGCAGGGGGCTCCACGGGGGAGGGGTCCCGCCGGGGAGGGGGCTCCAGGGGGAAGGGGGTCTGCGGGGGGAAGGTCCCTCAGGGGAGGGAGTTCACAGGGGAGGGGGTCCCACGGGGGACGGCCCTCGCCGGGGAGGGCCCCCGCTGGGGAGGGTCCCCGCTGGGAAGGGTCCCCGCAGGGGAGGGGCCCGGGGCCCAGCCCCGAGCTGGGGCCCAGGCGAGGTGAGGTCCGGACGCCAGGTCAGGAGCCCGATCCCAGCCCCGAGCCCAGTACGGGTCAGGCTTGGCCGCAGGCTCGGCCCCGGGCGCCCGGCCGCGCCACCCTCGGAAAGCCCAGGCCTCGCAGCGCTCGCTAACCTGTCCCGACCAGCAGCGGCCTCTCCGAGCCCCGCTGCCTGCGCTACTTCCGGCCGGAAGCGGCGCGACGGACACAGGATGTGGAAGCGAAGCCCTTGCCAGAACGTCTCATGGCCGCCCGAACTCAGGCTGCCCGGCGGCGGGGTGCCCTCCCCGCCCGGAGTAAAGATGTCCGCGACGAGCCGCCGCGGGGGCGGGGCTCGGGGCGGGGCTCTGGGAGGGCGGGCCCAAAGGAGACTGGGTTTCCTAGGCCCGCCCCCTTCTCGCGGGACGCTGACCCGGGGCCTTCCCATTGGCCGCCTCTCGTGGCGAGCTTGAATTGGGCCACATCAAGCCGGGACGAATGCTCCCAGCCAATAGCGGCGCGCGGGCTGGGCGGGGCCTCGGCGGGACTCTCTAGTAGCCGGGGGAACGGCCGGCGTGCTGGCCCGGGGGGCGGAGGCCGAACGGTCCGCCGCGCTTCGCCGGGAGTCGTCCTCCCGCCCGCCCGCCCGCCATGCGCCTGCCGCCCCGGGCCTCGCTCGGGCTGCTGCTGCTGCTGCTGCTGTCGCCCGCAGCCGGCACTACCCGGAAGCCGACTCCCTGCCAGCAGTGCCGGAACCTGGTGGACAAGTTCCTGCAGGTGGGCGGCCGGCGGGGCCGGGGTCCGTGGTTCTGGCCGGGTGGTGAGGTGGGGGTCCGTGGGTCTGGCCGGAGTCCGTGGGTCTGGCCGGGTGGTGAGGTGGGGGTCCGTGGGTCTGGCCGGGGTCCGTGGGCCTGGCCGGGGTCCGTGGGCCAGGCCGGGGTCTGTGGGCCTGGCCGGGGTCTGTGCACCTGGCCGGGTGGTGAGGTGGGGGTCCGTGGGCCAGGCCGGGGTCCGTGCACCTGGCCAGGTAGTGGGGCGGGGGTCCGTGGACCAGGCCGGGGTCCGTGGGCCAGGCCGGGGTCTGTGCACCTGGCCGGGTGGTGAGGTGGGGGTCCGTGGGCCAGGCCGGGGTCCGTGGACCAGGCTGGGGTCCGTGGCCCTGGCCGGGTGGCAGGGCCACCCCCGGGGGCTCGTGTCACCGCGGTGACCGACGCTGCCACCTCCTCCACAGGGGATGGCCAACACGGCCAAAAAGAACTTCGGCGGCGGCAACACAGCCTGGGAGGAAAAGACGCTGTCCAAGTACGAGTTCAGGTGAGCCCTGCCGTGCCTGGCCGGCTCTGCCCAGAGAAGCCCAGCGTGGCCTTGGGGACCCGCGCCAGCCCTGGGGCCCTTTGGAAGCCGGCTGTGCCACCTCTGCCCCGGCCTGGGTCTTTTACTGGCCCATGGCCACACTGGACGGCCTTTGTAAAGCCTCAGGCCATCTGTGGATGATCCTGCCCTCCTCCCTTCCCCCGTGGAAGAGGCCCCTTCCCCTCCCTAACCAGACCGCAGCCCTGCTGAGGTGCCTGACTGCCTTCTCCTTCTCCCCTTGGTTAGCCCATCCCCTCCCTGCCCCCCACACCCCCAACCCCACACTGACTGGGCTGTGATGGTTCAGGTGTGTCTTCAGTAAGTGGCTGTGCTCCCCACCTGCCCCAGGCTGACCTCAGAAGACCTCTGTAAAGAGAGCAGACTGAGCTGGGCACGGCTGTCATCCTAGCTACTCAGGAGGCTGAGAGCTAAGGGTCAAGGTTCAAAGCCAACCCGGGCAGGAAAGTTCCTGAGACTCTTCAATAAACCACAGAAAGCTGAAAAGCTGGAAGTGGAACTGTGGCTCAAGTGGCAGAGCACTAGCCTTGAGCATAAAAGCTCAGGGACAGTGCCCAGGCCCTGAGTTCAAGCCCCAGGACTGTTGAGAAAGATTGAGAGGGAGAGAGAGGACTGGGCTTTAGGGTGCTGATGGCTGCCTGGAGGTGCTGATGGCCGCCTGGAGGTGCTGATGGTATGTTTCAGTGAGGTCCGGCTCGTGGAGATCCTGGAGGGCCTTTGCGAGAGCAGTGACTTCGAGTGCAACCAGATGCTAGAAGAGCATGAGGAGCAGCTGGAGGACTGGTGGCTGCAGCTGTGAGTCCCACCCCTCTGTCTGCACAAACTGGCTGTGCCTTCCTGCCCACCGTACAGTCCCGTCCCGTTTCCCCTCACCCAGTCTTTTATTACCAGAGCACAATGTCCAGGACACTGGCCTGCAGGGTACAGTCAGTGCCCTGCCCAGTGCTCTGCCTGAGTTCTAGTTCCCCAGGCCCACTTCTAGTTGGAGATAGTCACAGACAATCCCAAGGGTAAACTATTCATGAGTTTTATTACAGAGTATCACTATATCTGTTCATTTTTATGGTAAATGTTCCTCCATTTTGTAAGCTGAACTTATAGGTATGCTTGTGTACACTCTGGCAATTTTGGAGTCTGATTGCCCCATGCTTCAGTCACAGGCCTGGAACAACACCCCCATAGATGTGGGAGAGATGGCTGCATTGTATTATGTTGCATTTGTGTTGTTTGTGTTCTTTGGAGCTGACAAGTGCCCTCCCACCGAGCCATCATTTCGTTTTAAAGAAATCAGTCACTTGAAGCTGGCACCAGTGGCCCATGTCTGTAAGCTTAGCTACACAGAAGGCTGAGATCTGGAGGATCAAGATTCAGAGCTAGTGTGGGCAGAGAAGTCCATGAGTCTCCAATTAACCAGGAGAAGGCCAGGGTAGATGCCTGGCTCAAGTGGTATAGCATCAGCTGAGCAAGAAATCTCAGCAAGGGTGCAAGGCCCTGAGGTTAATAATGCCCTGGCTGTCCAGCGCGTGCACACACACACACACACATACACATACACACCACTTAAGATTTAATGAATGTTTCCAAATCCTTAGGAAGAATGCACATCCTGACCTATTTGAGTGGTTCTGTGTGCGGACGCTGAAGGTGTGCTGCGCTCAGGGGACCTATGGGCCAGACTGTCGAGGTACTACTTTTTTTGGGGGGGAAAACAGCCCCAGGTCTGCATTGTTCCCTTCCCCCCTCTGACTCCCTCACCTTTAAAGGCACACAGGGGACCTGGGCTGTATTAGCTCCCGGCCTCTTCCCTAGGACAGCAATGGCTGCTCTCTTCTCTGAGGCATCTGGGCACCTCCTGGCATCTGGGCACCTCCTGGCATCTGGGCACCTCCTGGGCTCTGGGAATTCTCACGTGGGCGGAGACCATTGAGAACTTAGACCACTGTGGCTCTCATGAAGGGATGGTAGACTGTGTAACCCACCCTATTGTAAAGATACACTGAGTGGCAAAGACCAATCGTCAAGGGTCAAGGGTGGTGGTGTGCTGGGCCATCTCTTCTGTGCCTTTCCACTGGAGCCAGTTTCCTGCCGGGCTACAGAAGCCAACTGTGCCTGTCAAGGCGCATTAGATGGCTGCTCTTTGCCTGTCTCATTTTCTGTGTTCCCGTCCTGGGGCTTGGACTCAGGGCCTGGGCACTGTCCCTGAGCTTTTTGTGCTTAAGGCTAATACTCTACCACTTGAGCCACAGCTCTACTTCTGGATTTTTGGTGATTAGTTGGAGATGAGAGTCTCATAGATTTTCCTGACTAGGTTGGCTTTGAACCTTGACCCTCAGATCTCAGCCTCCTGAGTAGCTAGGATTCTAAATGGGAACCACCGGCCCTGTGTGCTAACTAGCAGCCCCACCTGCCTGATAAACATTCTCCTTGTCTGTTTCTGGTGAGGCTGTCGTGAAGTTGGGGCTGCAGCTTGCTCCTGTGTAGGCAGGCCAGGTGTCCTCCCCTAAGTGGGAAGGACTGCTGCCCATGTGTGGTGTGCTAAGTGTGGGTTTGTGTTCCCCAAGCCTGCCAGGGTGGCGCCGAGAGGCCCTGCAGCGGGAACGGCCACTGCCGGGGAGACGGCACCCGGCAAG